ATATTAATAATTAAGAAGGTGGATTTTAAATTTTCAAATTAGGTTTTAATTGAATAAAGTGACTCGTTTAATATTGAGACTTGAATTTTTTTTTAGAGTTCAAGACTAATATACAATTTTCTCATACCTATATACTTATTGAAATTTAAATAACTTCCAATAATTCTTATGTTAATTAAATAATCAAAAAAGATTTCAATTTTTTTTAAAAAAATTAATTTCAAATGGCAATCTCATCAAAATCTCACATGCACAACCATAATTATCCTATTCTTAACGTAATCTTTCCATTATCTATTAAATATATTATCTATTCACTTTTTTAGTTGCTTTAAACCTCTAATCTTATAATATCAAAAAAAATAAATGAAGAGCTCTCATCTTATTCTCCTAAATTATATTTGAAATCTCAATGGAATTTTAATCTGAATTATTTTAAATTTAAATAAATTTTAGATAAGTTTTTGAATGATTTAGCGTGGGATTTTTGAATCCCAACCTCTTCAAAATCTCAGACTCAATATGAAATCTATAATTTAAGATTTTAAAATTTTACTACCTTAAATCTAATTGAAAGAGCATTTGTTATGAGATTGCATCTGATTTGAAATTTTGAATCGAAGGTTTCAAAATAAGATTCACATTATTTCAATTTCACTTCACCAAAACATTTCACACCCCTTTGGATCTTGGTTGCAACCAGGGGTTTCCCATCACACCCTGTCATCCTCATAGCATAAAACGACTACCCACTCTTCCGCTGCCACCCTATCCTAAAACCCCCTCTTGTGAAACCCCTGAATATTTCGTGGGGGTGTTTTCGATCCACCGAACGGTTGTGGACCTTATTGCCAGGCCTACATGATTGTAAGTTTCCAGTGTTACACAATTATTTAGCACCACAAAGCTAATCCATCTCCAATTATTTTAAATATGTAATTCCGTTGGTATGGTGCATTTAGGAAAGATAACGTTATAGTTTCAAGGTTTAAATCCTAAATACCCCCCATATTTTATGGATATGACCTTTAAATCTGAATCTTAAATTTAACTTAAAATGACACGCTTACTTACCATTCAATCATATATTGCACCTACCTCAAATATGACTGTTAAATGTGCTTTTAAGGATTTGGATCCTTGCTCTTAATTATTATGCTGAGTTTGGGCCCACTCTATGTTTGTTCAATTTATTGAAGGCCCCATCCAATCCCTAAACGGGAGAACTGTGGTGAGTGTGCGTTTACCATCTCAATGAGGGTACATTTCTCTCTTTCTCTTTAATATATTTATTACCAGCATTCAGCAGGTCCCTTTCCCCTTCTTCTTTACTTTATGGGGACCAGAAGGGCCATTGATCATCTTATCAAAATCATTACCACTCATTTTACTCTAGCCATAACAATAATCTTCTCCCAGCAAAAACAGGTTCATTGTTTAAGAAAGTTCAACAAGGTGCAACATAGAATTGGATCCGTTTCTGTTTAATGTTTCCAATCTCTAATTAAAAAGAATTTAATTTCTTTGAATATATTAGTCAAAAGCAGGATATGCCTTAAGATTATTTAAGAGATTAATCTCAAAGAGTATGCATGCATGGCTGAATAAACCAATCTAAACCAAAAAAAAAAAAAAAAGCAAAAAAAAAGCACTGTAATTAAACTTTAGTCCTTTGTAAATGTATCAACGAGTAAAAGTTTGAAGCTATAAATTATGTAAAGGGCAGATAGGTTGATGGACTTGGACTCCTATTTAAGTTTAGCACAAGGTACGAAAAGAAAATCCGAATTTTAATAACGACCCAGTTCTGGCACAATTTAAAATCAACCTTCTCAATTCATTTTTGTCTCACTCTCCATAGTCCAGCCCTAAGAAAACCAAAATAATGACCTAATCATTAACATATTCTTTCTGTTTCAAAATAATATTGTCATTTCAACTTAATTATAGACATTAAAAAAGATTTAAATTATTTTTTTTATACATCTGATTATGAGTTATACAAAAAAAGATAACCCTTCCAAATCCCTCCTCATTCACTCAAAACTCGATAAAAAAATTTAAATTGTTAAAATCTTCTATCAATAATAAATAAATACTTAATAGATCTTTTACAATAAATATTTTTTGATTTAAAATTTGTCTAAGAATAATAATAGAATTTTTTAATATTTTAATAGTATATTTAAGTTGAAAAAAAAATAGAAAGAAATGGGAGAAGAAAAAATTTCCATATTTGCTAATCAAAAGAATTGGAGGGTAGGGAAGAATTTTTCCTATTTTATTTTTATTTAATTTATTTATTTATTGAAATATGAAAACTGGAGAGCAGAGGAATGGAGGGAATGAAATAATACAATTTCCCTTCTTTTTTTTCGTTGATCTGAACATATGATAAAAGAAATAAAAATTTTTTCTCTATTTTAATTTTATCATTATATTTTAATTTTAATCATTCTTACTATTATAAAAAAATCCATTTATTTTTCTTTAATTTTTAAAAATAAATAAATAAAAATAAAAATTCTCCTTTAACTATTTACTCATTCTTTTCAACTTTAATAAAGCAAAATTTTAAATTGGGGTTTTAAATTTCATTATTTATTATTTATTTTTAAGATATCATTTAATCTATTTGTTTTTAATTTACCTTTATTTTAAAAATAATTATAATATATATAAAATAACAAATTTTATTTAAGTAATATTAAATTTCTATTTTAGTATTAAAAAACAAAAACGAAAAAAACAAAAAACCTAGACCCGTATAAGTCATCTACCACGGAAGGGCTAATGAATAATACTGAATATTATATTAGGCAACTCGTGCTGGAAAGGTAAAATCCAATGGGAATGCAGAATCTGGAAAAGAAAAATGGAGTCCTGATATGATAATATCATCCCTTGTCCACAACGTCTCGGCGTCGGTGTCTTCGTTCGGTCAATTTTTTTTAATTCCCCGAAGAATATAAAATAAAAAAGTTGGATTATTTTTTGGTACAAGTAGAGCTGAAAGAAGGGGCGAGCGCGTGCCGCCGATGTTTTGCAACTGCGTCTCCTCTCCCCTCTCCTCCCTACGCAATCGCCTCTTGATGCTTCTCTAATTCGCTTCACGTATCCTCCTCCGCCTTAAACGCATAGCAGATCTTCCTCCTCCTCCTCCTCCTCCTCATCTCCTTCAAGTAAGTATCTAATTTCCTCCATCACGAATCAATTTGTTCATAATCTTCACTGTTCCCTTAGATCGAATCATCTTTTGTGTTTTCTCTTTGTTCTTCGATTTCTGCCGAGTTTTGGAGATTATTTTAGTTTGATGATCTGTTAACTGTTTAATGATCAATTCATCCCCCATAATTTCTTTGTTTAATCTTTTAATTTAGGAAATTTATTGATTTTTTTTTTTTTAATATGATTGTATTAGCTTTTGCATTATTAAGGGATGATTTTTTTAATCTATGTTTCTCGATGCTGCCGCGAATCGCATTTGTCAGTGATCTGTTGAGGATTGATCAGAAGGAGCATCGCTTCTGTTAATTGGAGTCGTTTGATGTGATCATTGGTGTTGTTTTCCTTAGGTTTGAAGTGGTTTATTTTGCGGGTGGAGTGATTGTGATGGAGATGGATAGGGATTCCGGAAAATTGGAGCAAATTGTTTCTCAATTTCTATTGAAGACATTACATGTTATTTTGGACTCGAGGATTCCTTCTCTTCATCAACATGATCGGTCTGCTGAATTGTCATCTGTTTCTCGTGCGAGGAAGAGTGATAGATGGTTCAATTTAGTACTCGGAGATCGTCCTGCAGCACTAGAGAATTTGAATTTCTGGCATCGGAATATCTTGGATCCCATGATTATTGATATTATACTTGTTCATCAAGGCTCTTGTTCGGCATCAGTGGATAATCTCTATGCAGCTTCAGCTGCAGGCCCCACCACCGAGACTGTTATAGAGAGGTGGGTTGTTCAATATGAGTCTCCACGGGTTGTTGGTTCTCAAAGTGGTGACAGTTCTGCTTATTACAAGAAAACCTACAAGAAGTCAATCATACTTTTACGGTCTCTTTATTCGCAAATGAGGCTTCTCCCAGCATACAGGATCTTTCGGCAGTTGAGCTCATCTAGTCAAACTTATAGTTTTGATCTTATTTACAAGGTTTCTTCATTCAGCAAACCATTTTCAAGGGAAGAGGAGGCTGAAATGACGGAATACAACTTTGTCCCAGTGGAGGCCTTTCCTGGCCGCCTCTGTGTCTCTGTAACTTACCGTCCAACTTTATCTGATTTAAACATTGAGCCTTCTGCATCCTTGCCACCAAAGATAATAGCAGATTATGTTGGCAGTCCCACCACTGACCCAATGAGGTCCTTCCCATCTTCAGAGAAAGGTGTACGTGCTACCTCCTTTCCGTTGAGAGCAGCACGGCCTCCTTCTTCAGGTCCATTTCAACGTCCACACAGCTGGACAAGTGGTTTCCATAGAGGAACTCCCCTTATGCAGAATCAAAACCTTGTTGGATCTCCACCAGCATATCGTAATTCTCCCATGCAATATGATATTTCATCTCCGCCAACTGATATATATGGTAGCAGAGTTCAAAGTTATAGACCACCAGTACAGCAAAAGGCTACTGGTTATGATGACTATCAGCTTTCACCCCCATTCTCACCATCTGCTTCCCCATCTCCCCCAACATACTTCTCCAGGAATAATTCTTTGCAAACTCATATTTATTCAGGGACTGCCCCCGTAACCATTCCACATCCACTGACAAGCAAAAGTTCTAGATACCTTACTCCTAACTCTTCTGATCCAACCAGACATTCTCTTCCACCTTTTTCTCCCAGAAGCATAAAGCATGATCCTTCATCTCAGGAATCTCCATCTGCAATCCGATCATATAGGAGAACAGCTCAAGAGTCACCTTCTAGTTTGACAAATTATTATGGCCAGAAGGTACTCTTTATTTTCTGGTGATTTTATGCCCCTATTGAACCTCCTCTATACCTTATATGTGTAGCTAGAAGCCTGTTGATTCACAAGGCAATTAATATTTGTTTTGCAGCTGTTCAGAGATAGCAAAGAGGATTCTGGCCGGTTCTCTGGATTGTTATCTTCCAGTGGTTCACCACGAATTGGATTTTCTAGAAGCTCTAGTAGACTATCCTTCCAGGATGACATGGATGATTGTGACTATTCATGTCCTTTTGATGTGGATGATGTTGATACATCTAATTTCCTAGCCAGGTGCTTTGCCTTACTCTTGCTTCCTCAGTTTGAATGCATATTGTATGTTTTCGCATCATATCAGTGTCTGGTATCAATCTTGTTGCTCATTACAATGATAATTAAAGTAAATGAATTTTATCCTACTGTGAGTATTTTTTATTCATCATCTATGGGTCAGATTACTTGAAGACGTGGGAGATTGATGGTGGACTTGTGTTTTGAAGTTGCATGTGTACAATTTGTCTGAATTAACCTGGCACATGTAGGAATATATCATCTTTCTGTTTGCTTGCATTTTATGATGCAGTTAACCCTATGAGTGTTAGGTTCCCACATTGGATCTGGTAGTATTTTATTAAGGCTGTGTCCTTGTTTTGAATACAATCTTAGCTGGGGATTGTTCTTAAAGTGCGAAAAAGGGAAGAAAGGATACTCAAATAAATAGGAAGATAGAAGGCTTTGAGATATTGTAATGTTTGGAAGCTAGTTGCCTACTTAAACGATGGCCTATGGTATTTGTTTTTTTTAGCCAAACGGCCTATTGGTTGGTAGTGTAGTTAGGTAAAAGAATCTATAGAAACTAATGAATCAAGAAATGACTCACTCAACTCTCAGGACTGATTGTATTATTTTCTTGAGTTAAGGTCATGTTCAAGATTTTTAGATGGCTGTCTATAATGTGAGGATCTACTTATGTGAAGTCATGAAGCCTTAAATTCAATTATATGTGATCAATTGTATTGTCTACTAATTATGTTTACTCTGATTTCTTAAATTAATTTTTGATATCCAAGATTATAAAATGTAAGAAGTGGGTTGTCGTAAAATGCTATTATTTCTTAAAAGCTTTCAACAACAAGTTAACCCTTAATGGCTTTAACCTAGATAGATAGCAAACTAAATAATTTACTGATCCAAAAGAAGAAAAAAGAAGAAGAAGAAGAAGATGGCAGAGGTTTTTAGAGTTGAAGTTGTGGTGTGGAAACTTGTGGATTAACTATTTGGAAATGATAACCTGTGATAAAAAGCTGATTTATTATCCAGGTTAATTTGAGGATATGGATAATGAAGCAGAAAATACAAAAAGATTTTTGAGGATATGGATCTTCAAGTCATTCAGTTTTGAACTTTTGATGCATTTGTTTTTATGATTGTTGGGCAACAAGTCAAAATTTGGATGTGGAATTAAGGTGAACTTTTGTTGTAGTTGGGATTTGGTAAGTCAGTGAATTGAGTTATTGATGGTTTTTTATCAGTCTGTCAGGTAGCAATAGGCTAACAGTTGCCTTTTTCCTTTTTGGCCAACCACTAACAGTATCTTTGAAAATTTTCATCTCATTAAGAAATAGCAGAATCATTTTGTTAATTTCTTCTCTCTTCTCTGGATTCTTTTTGTTGTGCTTATTTTCTCTTAACATTACACACAACTCAGTTATTCATACTTTTAACAGAAACATTTAACCTGATTGCATGTAGATGCATGATCTGTAATTTCTTGTTATGCTGTTGTTATAATCATGTCTATGTTACTCTTTAAAGGGTTCTGTTTGCTACATGATATCCTGGCTCTCTGCTGTGATTTGCTTTACGGTTGAAAGCATCATTTCCTTATTGTTGACTTGGACCAGGATTTGAAAATAAAGATATCATTTTATTGGACTCTAACTATTTGATATTTCCTTAAAGTACCTTCTTTTGTCAACATCTTATATAGATATTGGATCCTATAAGAAAAGAGAAGAAAATGGGAAATAGAAGTTTATTTCAACCAGCTGACCACATTTTTGGTCAAACTGCATCGTAGAATAGACCCAAATTCAGATTCATAACATATGCATTGAGCTTAGGCTATTTAGAGCAATCTAAGTTCTGAACTCATACCCATATCTAATTATTCAATGCACTTGCCTGTATCTTATATTATTCAGTGCACCTAATTCAAACTTGTAACATGAAACTCAATCAATTGTTTCCTTATTAAACACATTCTTATTTCATGCTTCATATTATCTTATCCAGCCTTGCTTGCCCATATAAGAATTTCTTATTTAGGCCCTTCTACTATTGCTACAGCTATTTCTGGAACTATTGACATCTTGTATCAGAATCTCATTCTAGTTTAATTTCCACAAATAATAGGAAAATTAAGTTTCTTCTGTTGTTTTGGGTAAAAAGATTTAGTAGTTTTCTTTGGATCATGGAATTAAGATTCCCTGTGTACCATTATGCTTCCAGACTTAAGTAAGGGCTCTTGCTGCTTGCATTGCTATATCTAGAAACTTGATACTTGTTATTTTCTTTGTTTTAAAGATTTTTATATTAGATTTTATTATCTCAATAAAGTTAAAATCAATGTTCTGTTACTGAAATATAAACATAAAAAATATGGAATTGTGTAAGAACTAAAATTTCTGATATTGCACTGTGTGTTAAAAGCTTACGATCTTTTGGTGGACAATCCAGAGGCCCTAGTTGGAGCTTTTTGTGAATGGGATGTTGTAACCAAAACTTAAATTCGAACCCAATTTCTCCTTTTTTTTGATGCTTCTCCTGTGTTGTCATCTGGCAATGCTTTTTGAGAGTTTGATGTCATATACTCCCATTTTCTCCTCTCTCTTCTGACACTCAATTTGGTTGTACAGTCAGAAAATTGATGGGAGAAGAGGTCCAGAATCCACTTCACATTCAGTTCCAGGGAGTAGAAAATCACACGATGCTGCAGTGGGTGAATTAGTTCAAATGCTAAGAACAGCACCACCTTTGCGACAAGATCCAAGTTATTCATCTCACTCATTGAGGACTGAATTTGAGGGCGGAGTTGGTACAGCTTCTGGATTCTTTATGCCCAGAAGAGCAGCAGATGCACTTGAGGAGCTGAAGAGTTACAGAGATATGAAAGATCTGCTACTCTCAAAGAGTGGAACTCAGGTTATAAGGAAAGATGCATAACTTCTCTTTAGTTGGTTCAGCCTTGTTTCAGAGAAGAAAACTTGGATCCTAGATGGTTATAGATTTATAAAATGTGATAACTGCTGGTCAGTACTTGACACAGAATCAGCTACAGCAGATGATAGATTTAGAGTAAAAACATAACATATTTCTTGAAGTCAAGGTTAACAATTTATGTACATATTTCTTGAATGAAAATTTGTTACCATCATTGTATAGGGTGTTGAAATTACTAAATTCCAATGAAAAATGTTGTGTGTGGACCACTGCTTCATGTTATTTCTTTGTAGGACAAGATTCATCTTTTTGAGGATATATCCTACGAAATATGAATTTGAAATCAAACAGAGTTTATTCATTATTAAAAAAAAAAAAAAAAAAAAAAAGAAGGGGAAAAGGAAAAAAAAAAAAGGGACATAAAACAGAATTTATTCGTCGGTCATTGTATGCAAAACGGCAGGGAAGCGTTGTTTTGCAGGGCAGCCAAGAGTTAGCTCCTGATATGAGAATGCTTGGGTAGGGGACTCAATGCTTTAATGCGGTTGGCTCAACAACAGAATTTATGGTTCCACTCATTGATTGGAACAACCGAATGCGCTGCTCTTTTCCAATTGTGGTAGATAAGAATAATAAAAAAATTTATTTTGATGTCATATTATTACAATTAATATTATTTTATATAAATTTATATTTTTATATATTTATCTTTTAAATAAAATATCTAACAAAATACATTCTCTCTAGTGGATAGAGATTAGAGTTTCTTTAGAAGTCACTAAAATTATTTTATTTTCACTTATATTTTTAAAATTTAAATAAAAAAATTTTTAATTAATTTTTTTAAAAAGGAAATGCCTTTGATCCAACAGCTTTAAGCCATTTTAGGATTGCTGCAACACCTAGCAGCAAAATGTTGCAATTTTTCAATTAAAACAAGGAAACTGAGCTGAGAACAAGCTAGGTTCGAGAACACCTCTCCAACGATATAGAGTTTTATCTCTATTTTATTTTAAGAAAAGAAAATTTTAGTAGAACACCATCGTACATGCTCCTTTAAAATGTCAATAATTGAGTACGTAACAGATGATTATCCCCATTCATCCTTTGTAATTATAAAGCTGTGATATTTAATAATATTGATTTTCAATGCAGAGGGATTGCTTTTACTTGCATTCCAATTTTTTTCCGAGACATACGAGAGGCATGGATGCACATGTTTTGATTGTGTTCTCATATGTTGGGAAGGCTTCTATGGGCAAGACTACATATTTTTTGACATGATGGACATTTCCGAGCAAACAATTGTAGGGATTCAAGTTAAACATCAATAGAAAGATGCAGCAGTACGGTCTCTTGGTCATGTAGATATTGCATACAAGCATTTGAGCTAGTAAACGTTGGTAACTTGCAAGCTGTGGGCTTTTAACACTCAAGATTCTGTTCCGTTCTGAAAATTTTTGTTGTTCTAATACTCCTAAAGATATAAGAATCAGCATGTTCTTGTCTTTGTTAAATTCGATAAGAACAAGCATAGATGTACATGATGAGATGAGCTAAGATGAGACAAGGATCTCCACGCTTGGTACCATCCCTCATAGCAAGCCAATTTTCCCAATCATCTTTACAGCTGTTGTCTCTCTTTAGGATGTTACACAAAAGTAATTGTCCGCCAGAAGTTTCTCATCAGATGCTATATAAGTCAAGGCTTCGCCAGTCCTCGCACTGTCGATCAGCTATTCTGTCCTTTGGACAATGTAACCAAAAAGGATGCCTTCTATGCCTTCATTCTCTGCTGTCTTTCTGTTTCCTGACTTGTGTAGTTTGTTGTTATTATTACTACAAAAAGTGTTTTTTAAATCAAATTGCACAATAAGAATACAATTCAAATTATAAATTTATTAAAATATCCTTTCTATATGTTTGCACATTATGTGTAGGCTAGATCGATGCTGGAGGTGATGGGGGTGTTGTAAGTTTATTGGTTGGCTTGGCAACTAATAGACATGCATTTTGAACAGCAAATGAACTTGTTTAGGGATGAAAGTGAGAGAAGGCTGGGATGTTTTGTGGTTATCAGTGATACGGTCACTTGGCTATTAGAAATCACAGGTCATGTGGCGTTAGTAAGTGTGGGGAGGGGAGATCAGCATTTGAGCTCATTCAACTGAAATATTTCATTGGGTAAGGGTTAGATCAAAAGATTGTAGCGCCCCCACCCCCCTTTTTTCTTTATCCTTCTTTCTTTTTTTTTTTAAAAGAAAATTATATTACAACTACAAATTTAAGAAATGAACGATCAACGTTAGTGGTGACGTTTGAAGCCAAAACCAAATATATGACAATATTGAGCCTTTTACCACTTGGCCACAAACGGGCTGGCCAAAAGATTTCCGTTTAGTTTGACCATTTAATGGAGCAAGCTTCTTAGTACTTTCATTTTATTTAATTATTTTTATTTTATAATTTGATATAATTTAAATTATAAAATAATAAATTTGAATAATAATATAAAAAAATGATGATAATGATAATAATCATTTATTCTATAATAAGAGGAGTGATAATTAAGACGAGTAACAATTAAGATCCTACCACTGAAACAGTTTCGGTAAGAATGGAAGTCTGATAAGGAATAAGAACTTAAAAGCCTACACATGAAGTATGAAATAAGAATTTCAGATATGGTTGTTGTTATTAGTTTAGTTTTTAATTTTGATTTTCATAAATTTTACAACTTGTTAAAGATCAAAACTAAAAAATTAAAAATTAAAAATTAAAAATTTGTTTAAAATAAGTTTTTACACTAACTACACTTCAATCTGTACTTCGAGTAGTTCATCTGTATTTTATAAATTTTTTACTAATTATAAATTTTTATAATAATAATTAACTATAAATACATTTCAAAGCATTCTGATAATTAGTAATTTTATATGTATTATGAATTCATAAAAAAATATAAATGATAAATATAAAAAAAATTTAATCGTACAAATCTAATAAATTTACTTTCAAAAAATAAAAACAAATTTTATAATTGAAATATAATAAATACATTCTTCGATTTAAAATACTCATCAATACATTCATTAAGAAATTATTATTTTTAAATTCAAATTTAATGTGAGAAAACCTAAAGTTGAATATTTTAACGGCTTTAGTGTTTCACTTTTAATTCAAATTTGAAAATAATAATTTTTTAATAAGTATAATTTAGAGTATTGTATTAAATTGAAAAATATACCAATAATTATCCTTCATAATTTGTTACTATATTAATAAATTATAAAAATTTGTCAAGTATTTTTATCCATTCTCTTTTATATTAATAAATTGTTTGATATTACCTTTTGAGAAAATGATTTGTACACTTTCGGTTTAACATCTTTTTTGACACATTTTCAGTTTAACCATTAAAAATATAATATAAATATATTTGATTTAGTTGGTTTCTATATCTTATATACATGATTAGATTTATTTACCTTTAATTTTAAACTAAAAAATAATAATTTTTAATGAATAAATTGTATAATATGTTAAACTGAAATATATACTAATTATTGTTCTACTTTTTTTTTCCCCCTTATCTCTTCCTTACCTTATATCCCTATCTATTCATATACTGTATTTTCTGAATTTCTCTCAATTTCTTACATTAACACGGTATCTCTTTCCATATTCATATTAATATTTAGTTAGCTATTAATAACTTCTCTGTATGGTTATTAATAATTTATTTATTTACTATTATTATTTTATCTCTCTTATATTTCTATTTATATGATTCTTTATTAGTCCCTTATTCCATCTTATTAATTTTTGTTAAGACTCCATCTCTTAACTTCTCCCTTAACATTTTATATAATTATATTTATTTCTCTATCTTGTATATTATTTTTTCTTTCATTTTACAACTATTTCTATTTATTTCTTAGACATTTCTTACATCTCTATGTATAATTATATATATATTTATCTTTCTTCTATTTCCACATGTTTTTATTAGAAAAAAGTTTTATATCAAAACATAGAAAACACAATTTTTTAGTGTTATTCTCTTAGTACTTTTTCAATTACTTTGACTTAGCTTCCTACTATCATTATCTCAGTGCATTTTCCCTTGACATTACTCCACCTTTGATTACTTTTCATAAGATTACCACCCAAAATTTATCATTATATTTATTTATTTACTCTAGACAGATCTTCACATTCACTCTTTACTTTAATAATTTGTTTGTGATTAATATTTTATTTCCTTTATATTTCCTTCTATATTATTCTTTCTTAGTAATTTATTCCATCTCTCAACTTTCTTTTAACATTTTATATCATTATATTTATTTTTTTACCTTACATATTATTTTTTCTTTCATACTACTCAAATCTCTATAATTATTCATTAGACATTTCTTGCATATCTATTTATCATTATATATCTTTTATCTTTTTACCATTTTTTCCCACATGTTTTTATTAGAAAAGTTTAATCTCAAAATATTATAGGTATAACTTTTTAGTATTATTTTTTTATTACTTTTCAATTGTCTTTACTCTCTTTCTTTGAATTACTTTTCTTATGATTTATCTATCAATCTCTTTCTCAATAATTTATCATTATATTTATTTTTTTATCCTACAT